CATGATGTCTTCTCTTGACTCAAATCGGGTTCCTTTCAGCGGCATTTTCAGCTTGGGAAATAGCCAAAAGTCACACGGAGCCATGTCGGGGGAGTAGGGAGCCTGACGAACCACAGGGATGTTGTGTTTGGCGATGAAAGTCTGAATCAGATGCGCAGAATGGGCGGGTGTGTTATCATGATTAAGCTGCCAAGTTTTTGCTGCCCACAGATCCGGACGTTTGCGCCGCACAGCATCACAAAGGCGACGAAGGACCTCCTGGTAGTATTCCGTTGTGATGGTTTGGCCTTGTGGTACGTACTCATGATGCACAACCCCATGGGAGTCGAAGAAAATGGCCAACATGACCTTGACATTGCTGCAGACCTGCCGTGCTTTTTTTGGCCTCAGGGATGTCGGATGTTTCCACTGTGACGACTGCATCTTGGTTTCCGGGTCGTACTCATAAACCCACGACTCCGCCTGTGATCATGGTGTTCAGAAAGTTGGGGTTACTGTTTGCATTGTCCACAATGTCCTGTGCGATTTCCAGACGGCGTTGCTTCTGCTCCATTGTTACGAATTTCGTGGACACACTCCTCATGCCCAAATCCTCGGTCAAAATTGAATGTACCGATCCACTGCTTACCCCCATCTCGTTTGCAAGTTCTCAGACTGTGATATGACGGTCCTCCATGATCAAAGTCCGCGCTTGCTCAATGACATTCTCATTTCGGCTTGTTGAGGGTCTGCCTGAACGTGGTTTGCTGTCCACTGATGTGCGGCCATCTTTGAAGTGGTTGTACCACTCATTTATCCGTGAGGTGCTCATGGCATCATCCCCGAAAGCCTGTTGAATCTTGTGAATGGTTTCACTTGGGTATCGCGAAGCTTTTGGCAAAATTTGATGCAATATTGCTGCTCGTGTTATTCCGTCATTTTACACCTTACTGGAATCCGACGAGCGCTCACTACACGTCCTCACTCATAGGTCGACTGCCAGCGACTGACACTTTCTGCAGGCAGGAAAAAAATTCACGACTGTGCATGAATGTCCCCCCCCACATCTCCACTGAAGGGAGCCTCCCGCGCTTCATTGGTTTACATGGGAAAAAAAGAAGGTTCGATACTTTTTGAACACACCACGTATATAGAAGCTTTGAAGCATGAGGTACATTTGAGTGTAAAATCTGTTTGATATACCATGTGTGTTTCAGGTGTTTCTTTATTCTTGACACATCAGCACCCCCGTTTGATGTGAATTTGGTGCTGTACAGCCAGCAGCTGAGCAAAGATCTTGTCATGAATGTATACAGTGGTGGAAAGTGGGGGTCATACCGACACCTCCCTCTAGACAGCTGTGCCACTGTCACTACACCACATGCATGGCTCAACATCATGACCCCAGGAAATCTGTCCAGCTTCAAATGGTTGGAGGGAAATCTGGACCCTGAAAGGTATGAACCATCTCTTGTATTCAGAAGTGCCCATGCCTTTATACACCTAGGAATTGACTGTCACACCTTTCAAAATTTTTGAATGGATATCCTTAGCTCCTTTCTGTGTTATTTAACACCTCAAAGCCATCATTTCTGAGCACAGAGCAGAGTAAAAATCTTCTCTTACACTGGATGCTGTGATTATCAGATCATGTTAGCAGCTGTTGTAGGAATATCAGGATTCCCTTTGTTTATGGTAAAGAATTTTTATTCAGAGTTTCGAAAAGCACCCATGTTATGAGTGGTGCAGTCATCCATGGAAGACATTCTTGACAATGTCATCTGTTTTGATTTCAAATCAGAGATAAGTATGCATCATTATTGTTCATCATGGCACTTTACTGGCTCCAGGGGGTTAAGTTCACTGTATCCTGTTGCTTGAATCCTAAGATCTGGCACTATATTCACCACAGTATTCAGGGATGCTCACCATTTGACCCTGTGCTGAGCCAGTTGAATCAATTTCACATCTTTACAATATATGTCTTTAAGATTAACTTAAATATTATCCTCCCATCTGTGCCTCCATCTTGCAAATAGGCCCTTGCATACAGGATTTTCAAACAAAATTTTGTATGGACTCCTCATTTTCTGCATACAAGCTGCATATCCAGGCCATCTCATCTCTCCTGCTCTAATCGCCATAATGTATAAGGGGTGGGCCTTCTTGGCCCTTGCACCACAACCACAGTGATCTATTGTGGCAATAATACTATAATACTAATACCATAGTAGTAATAGGTAAATGGACCATATAAAGTAAGAAAAAAAGAAGAGCTGGAATTCTTGCTTGCCACCTCCCAAATTCACTTTGCTCTGTGTCAGTGATCATTGTATTTCTCAAGCCCTGATGGATATAACTCATTTACATGTCATAATTGAGGAGGAATTCTCTTATGTTCCAGGGTACAAGCAAAACCGGATGAGAAATTGGTTCAAATTTATTACTCTGCCCTTAATTTCCGAAATGTGCTGTTGGCAACTGGGAATGTTGCAGTAAATGTCTCTGTAGAGGATCACCTCATCCAGGTTAGAACACAGACCCAGTTCTGCCAAAATTCATTGGTAATACTACATAAGAACAAGTTTCATCATATTCCCTTCCTGCCCACAGAACTTGGACAACATTTAATTCATTATTCTGCTAATGGAAATGTCCAGATTCTTAATTTTGCCCCATTGTGAAGATGTATGGGGGACTGGAGTGGAGTTTCACATGTCCTTACTTTAGGCACTAGGTGGAGGGGGGAAGTCAGCTTCATGCCATGGCCACTTTATGCCTGGAGAGAGCCCCCAGTACCCATTGCTTTAGAGGCTGGGTGGGTGGTGTTACAAAGAGGAACATCTTTGCTCTTGCAGGAACTGTAGCTCTGATTCCCTGGTCATCCAGTCTGTAGGCTAGTTACTGCAATAACTGAGTTACCCCCAATCACACTAATGAAGACAGGCAACTCCTCAGTCGCTAACTCGATGAGAAGGTGATGGGTCTAAGCGACCATAGACACAGTTGATGGAAATTAAACAGGCCCTCTTTCTGAAGGGTTTTGACTCTAGCTAAGATTGAGGCTCATGATGAACCCAAAGATACATGGGGGTTGCACAGTGGATCCAATAAAGGTCCTAGTACTTAAGGGGCAACAGTACAATACAAGTGGTCATTGCCTTCTCACTGAGTTAGTACAAAATTCCCATCTTTCATGGAACTCAAATGTTCATTACAATCTGTATAGTAGTCTGCCAGTGGAACCTTATTCTGGACCATATGATTCCAGTATAACTCAGCTGTAGTTGATGAATTAATTTAGTTTTAGTGGACTCTCGCTTGAAATGGGCAACCTTCTTTATAGACTCTTTAGTTATTTTGTAAGTTTTATTACGTCTGTGGTAGTGCAGTCTTGGAAACTCAAAGTAGCAACAGTGTACAGCATGTCAGATGTTTCTCTGTTAAGGTATTCTGCACTGCTAAATTGTGATACTGCATCTACAGAAGTTGTAGACTGGCAGACCAGAAGGCATCCAGGAGTGATTGTTATAGAAATAAGTATTTCAGTAATATACTATTTCAACTCAGTTGCCAATATATAATGTTAAGATGACATTGCACTGAAACTAAGTAACTTACACCTTATAGCAGACTCCTTCTTGAGTAGGTAATACATGCTGGATTGTTCAAGACATTTCTATCATCTCATTGAGCTTGAAGGCACCTTGTCATGTTGACAAAACACCCACTACTTGGTCCCATCCTAAACCAAATGACTTTAGCCTACACCCTCCCATCCTGTTTCAGCAGGGTCAGTTTTACTCTTATCCTCCAAATCATGCCTAGGTCTTACTATGTACTTGTAGCTTCCCTTTGGGATTCAAAGAAAAAGAGAATACATTTCTCAATTCTTGTACATACCCTACATGCATTGCCCATCTCATCCTCCTTGGTGTGGTTGTCTTAATATTTAATGGAGAGTACAAATTGTGAAACAACTCATGCGGTTTTCTCCATTCTGTTGTTCGTTATTAAAAATCTGCTGTGAAAACAAATTTCTCATTATTATATGCATTTGCTGTAATGAAATTTTACAGTGTATATTACAAGAAGGTACCACTGTGCAATGACTTTTGTGTTTTACTGGGAACAGAAATCTTTCCTGTGTATAATATTTAATTTTTTAAAACAGGCAATTGATTATTGTATATTTTAAAGCATTACAGTTATTATGATAAAATTTACACTTTTGGTTTCCTGTTGGGGCAGAACAATGTTCAAGGGCTGGAATTCTCTGGACGTGATCACAGGGGACGGCGTGTCATGGGAATAGTATATGGTCTGGCCCTAGCCTCTGTGCTGCAGGCAGACAAAGCGATGCTGTGGGATGTACCTGATCACTGGACACTTGAGGATGCAGCAACTGTGCCTATGGTCTATGTAACAGTGAGTAGAAATCAGTAATATAAGATGGAGAAACTTCTACCCAGCAAAGACATTCTTCCTACTTTCTGTTTTAAGTAACATTTCTACAAAACAAATGAGCTGAGCACTGATGCCCATATCATTCATGCCTATCTTAACATGTTGTGCACTAGGTACTCAGTTCTTAATCCTTCTTTTGCCCCAGGCCATGTGTTTGGCTGCAACATTTTGTCTGAAACATTTCTTATTGGTACTAGGTTTGTGACTGACTTAGTGTTGGCTGTCCAGTGTACTGTCTTCTTGGATGTGATGCTCTATAGCAGTGTTTACCAACCTGTGGTCCGCGGACCCCTGAGGGTCCGCGAGTAATTCAAAAGGGGTCCGCGGGATAGTTTATTTTCATTAAACTTTATCTTATCATGTTCCTCACACCTGGGATATTTGCAATGTATATCTCTGGCTCTTGAGACCCATGGTTGAAGTAAAATTTAACGGGACTGTTGGTACCGTTACTTCTTCCCTTTGTAAAGAAGAGGTGAATAACCAACGATTTGTGTAGCTTTTTCCAAGGACATTTTCTTTTGGTCGACCCATTGCATCTCAGACCCGTGTTTCAGGGTGGACTGCTGTCCTAGTACCTGCTGTCCGACCATTCTCCCCTCCTCCCCCACCAAATCCATCCCTCTTTGGTTGGGAATAAACCTGGGACCATTGACCACGTTTCTTATTCATTTCAGTGGCAGAGCGAACAACCCGTGTTTCTTTAGTTTTTGTGCAGTGAATTTTTATAATATTATACAAGTGTGTTTTTCTCAGTGTAGTATTCAGTTTTTCTGCTTTTGTTCAAATAATTGAGTTCACAACGAAACTTCTGATTTTCACTGATATGTTGGGTTTTTGGACTTTATCCATTGTCCTGGTTCTTAAGATAACAAATAAAAACATGACGTTTCGGAAACTGGATCTGTTTCCGTCCTCAGGTGAAGGAAAACACCTGTTCAGTTGGGTCCGTTAGAAAGAGCTAGCCTCAATCACTGGAC